CGCCACATAGTCCAGCAGGGGGCGCCACATAGTCCAGCAGGGGGCGCGCTACAGGGACACGCAGAGCGTTGAGCACAAAGAAGAAGACACTTCCGGCCAAGGCGGAAAAACAAAAAGGCGCTAAAAGAATCAATAGCTGCATTTTGTTCCTACTAAGGGGAGCGGTTAAGCAGAGGGCTCGTCCGTCCGTTTAAAGGTGTGCATTGAACTGTTTCAATAGTTTTTATATCTCGGTGTCAAAATGGACCCGACGAGAGAGTTTTTCTCTAAACTGAGAAAGACGGCGGTAACTTTAGAAACTGAAGCTGCGAGGCTTCAGGACGTGTTCGAGAGCCGAGGTGAGGCCTGTGGCGGCGGTGAGTGACCCCGGAGCATCTCAGCTGCACATGAACTCAGATAAGTCCCTTCTTGTTGTTTGCTCACCGTGTCTTTGTGACTTGATGTGTCAGAAACGACAGCCAGAGCGTTGAAGGCGTTTCACGAAGTGAGCGGTGAAGTCCTCGCTCTAAAGGTAAACACATTCATGTGAAACACCTGCCTGGGGTTCAGATTAGCTTCACTTCAGATTTAATTTAATCCAACTCAGACACGAGGAACTACATTACTCCTGTCGGTCATGGACAGCCGTTTCATTCAAAATGTCATAAATAAATAGGGTTATTTAAAATTATTAAATATTCCATAAAATAAATAAATGTTTAGTTTTTCCCCCCAGGATTTACTTTTTTATTTATTTAATAATGAAGTTTAATTTTGTGACGCATGTTTTGTAAAGCTATTTTACATATTCCAGAGGCTTTTATTCTTGAACCCATTTTTCATTTGATGTTTCATGTTCTTGTGTTCAGATGAGGGGGGGGGGGGGTCTGATCACATCAATAAAATCATAACATTACATCTGTTTTATAATTTAATACTCCATCTGTACTGTTCTCTAAGCTTTTTTATTGTTTTCTATTGTATGGGTGTACACATGGTTATGTTTTTAAGTTTACTTTATTTGTGGGTGTACACAGGTCTTATGTAATGTTCTCATTTTTACTTCATTTTTACTTTATTTTAACTTTATTTTACTTTATTACTATTCACACCTTATGTCGAAGCAAATTCCTAGTTTGTGAACCTCGTTCATTGACATGGCGATAATAAACTGATTCTGATAACGATGTGATCGGACCTGACCGGCAGTGTTGCCAGATCTCACAATAGGAACAAGCAACCACCTCTATGAAAACAGCCCAACTGGCAACCCCAACTTGGGCGGGAGCGATAAACAGGAAAGGGGGGCGTGGAAGGGACAGACTATCTACTGCCACTCGTCTTTTGCGGAGCTGGGAGATAATCGACTAGTTTCACTGGGAAAGAAAGGCAAGCCCAAATAAGCAACTTCACGTTTAAAACAAGCCCAACAAACTGCGACTCAAGATTTGCAACGGAGTTTAGAAAAACCCCAAAGTCTCTTATAATGAGCAGACTTGGCAACTGACCGGTCTCAGTGCAGCCCATCTATGAATTTTATAGGCTGGCAAATCAACAACTAAATCAAAAATAAACCATGGCTTCTCAAGTCTCACACACTGAGCGTGACAGACACGCTTTTCATGATGTGCACGCTTTGTGTGTCTCACGCTACAACACATGCGCAGACCCTTTTGGAAGAGGAACCAATGTGCAGCCCAACGTTTCCACACGGGCTGGAGCACAGTAGCGGACATGGCTGCAGTGTTGCCAACTTAGCAACTTTGTCGCTTTATTTATCGAGTTTTCAGACCCCTGTAGCAACTGCTTTTCAAAAAGAGTGTGTGTGTGTGTGTGTGTGTGTGTGTGTGTGTGTGTGTGTGTGTG